GAATAAAGTGGTGCAATAAATGTTTGTCTTGAAGAAACCCATTTGTTTCACTCGTAAAATGCTTTTATAACTTATAATGCCAACTTTATCCATTTTTTCCTCACCTCGGTGAAGAATTGGAAGGAGGATGACGAAGTAAAACGCAAGATCTCTTGATGTATGCTTTCGAATAAAACCTACTGATGATGTAAGGCATTGTTTCAAACCTCCTAAACACCAAAGACATAAGGAAGTTAAATCCTTTTTAACCCTTTCCAACCTCATTTTTTAACCTGGGGCAGGAAATTTTTCAGTCAGCTCGATTGAACACTTAAAACCTTTCAAAAAGTGAACATCTTTCAAAATAGGTGGGTACAAATATACTTTGACCCTTATTCCTTTGTTTTACAAATTGTAAACTAAACTCTAATATAACCTTCAAAAGTCCTAATTGAAGTAAGGTTTAATTCGAAAGCATACTCAGTGAGATAACGTTTCCTGACTCCTATGAGCTATGCTCAATTCGATGGTTGGCTTTATAAAATATATCCTAACTAGTGATTTCGGTCACCAGTTATTGGGATATCTCTTTTCAAAACTTCAAGACAAACATATATGTTGCATTAACATTTTCAGAATTAACATTTCGTACATGTTGATTTTTGCCTATGTCATAGAAAGTTTACATGCAAGCATCAGTGATAAGTTTGTTCTATCGGGACTTGAAGATTCTGCTAGACAGGGGAAACTATGTTCCTAAGTGGTTTGTTATGTGCAAATTTGACTTCGGCTAAAGAGCTATTTCTGAATACTCAGTTATGATACCGTCGATCAGGGCCAGTTACCTCGAGATTCGGTGAATCTCTCTAAAGAATTTGAAAACAATGACCACATGACTTGGGACATCTGATAAGTAAAGATTATCTTATCCATTCACAACACCTGTTGTTCAAATGGCGACTACCATTACAATTCCTCAACACACAACATTCTTCATGTCCCCTAGTGAATTTTACTCCAGATGGTCATGACATTTCTCTGTGAATCTTTTCGATGCAAGAAATCTCTAGTTTGTAACTTGAGAATTCCCAGTGATCTTAACTTCACTTCCCCAATGAAGTGGGTATTACTTTAATCCTCAGTGGATCTTCTCCAACTTCACCTTCCTAATGAAGTGGACGTATTTCACTCCCCAGTGGATCTTTTACGACGCTAGGCTTATCCAGCGAAGCGGATGTTTATTTCATCCCTATTGATGTTTCGACTCCGACTTTTTCAAACAGCAATGACAACAAGGCTCCCCCATCGAGTTGGATATTTATTTTATCCCCTGTGAAACTTCAGTTTGGGTATTTCCATCTACAACTCCAGTAAGAATTTATCCAGTGAAATGGATATTTATTTTATCCATGTGTTTCTTCGATTATGAGTTTGATCCACCCCTGGTAGATCTTTATTCTCGTCTTCAACAGGTAAATCTTTCAGACTTATCAAGATGTCATACCCCAAGTGGAATGTTTTCTACTCCCCAAGAAGTTTTTGAAGCTCTAAAGCAGGAGTGTGATTCTGCATCTAGTTCTCCACCTATCCCCAGTGGTACTTCTATCTTTGAAGATTGGTCGGATGTTTGTTCCAAGATGTTTCACCTCTGGTTGCTCCTGTCCGTTTGTTTTGTCAGCATAAGCATACGCATATCATATACATAGATAGCATGGCATGTGCACTCTTGCATCTTTGTGTTGCTTGTTCTGTCTCTTTGGTCGTATTTATCCCCGGGTGGTTGGGCGCGTCTTCTCCTTCCAGTTAGAGTTGTCAGCCCTAGGCAAAAAAAGCATCATATTTCTATTTCCCCATAGAGTTCGATCCTCGTGGAAGACGATTGCTTTAGTTAAATTCCCACTTGAGCTTATACCTCGATGGTCGAGTCTTGCTTGACAGTTTCTCGTCAGTTATTTCCTGAATTGAACTTCGGTACCTGACAATCACATTATGGACATCTACAACTCTTAGAATATGGCTAGGTTGTGCATTTATTTTGCATTTCCACCCCCAGGAAGAATTTATGAGAGATAATTATTGAAGATGGATATTTCTCCAACAATATTATACAGATATTTCTCTTTATTTGAGAATTCACACATTTTGCAACAGCTAGGATGCTCCTCAGGAATGTATTCCCCAATGAGTTCATCACACAAGTTTATTTCCATCAAGCGACATCTTCCCAGAGAAGTCAAGGAAGTCAATCACATTAGTCTCTCCTTATTTGAGAAGACATACTTTATAATTCAACCGGTTCACATCTCTCCTGAAGATCCCCGGTGAAGTTTTACAATCTCAATTACATTTACAAAGTTCTACATCTACGACAAACTACATCTACATTGATAAATTACATCTACAATCTACAATCTACAAAATATATCTACAAAGTTCTACAACTTATATCGACATCTACAATTTACGTCGACATCTACGATGACATCTACGATCTACAAAATCTACAGCTGAGACCCGTTCGTGGTACCCAGACCATGAGGCGTGGGGATGCGTTTTTTCCAGAACTGAGACCCGTTCATGGCATCCAGACCATGAAGCATGGGGAAGTTATTTTCAGAACTGAGACCCGTTCATGGCAAACACACCATGAGGCGTGGGGAAGTTATTTCAAAAAACTGAGACCAGCTCATGGCATTCAGACCATGACGCTCGGGGAGGTTTATTTCAAAGACATCTCTCTTTTCCTGGCTAATCTCGGCAGTAGATTACCAGTAGACCTCGGCAGTAGGTATATTTATTTATTTCCTAGCTAATCTCGGCAGTAGATTACTAGTAGACCTCGACAGTAGGTAGTTCTTTCATTTCCTGGATAATCTCGGCAGTAGATTTCCAGAAGACCTCGTCGGAAGTATATCTCCAACAAATTTCAACATAGAATCTCGGCAGTAGATTCCTTACAAATTTTAACAGTATATACTTTGGCAAAAGTATTCTCAATCAAAATTATAAGTCTCGCCAGTAGACTTCTCTAGCTGATAATTACATTCGACCTATCCAGTAGGTTGTTCAAGTGGTTTTCTCACTAAATTTCTCCACGACATGTTTATAGATACCTTGTGATTGTCAATCTTTCCCCGTAGAGTCTCGCTTTGTTGAGCCTGCATTTCCCATGTGTCGTGTTCGGTCTCTCACCTATGGCATCATTTCTCCACAGGATCCTTTGTCTTGCATTTCATATCATTGCATATCATCTTCATTCGGTGGCTTCTTATGGCCAAAAATCCGTGCAATGTTTGTATTTAACTCCCTCCTATCTCGTCGAGACGGAGATTTCAATCTCCATATCTCTAGATAGAAGAAACTTAAATAGGGGCATCTGTCACACCCTAATTTTTGACCATAAGATTCCACCTCTTTATCTCTCTACTTTTGTGTGCGACTAACTGACTTGTGCAGGTACATTATTTTTTAGGGTGGATGATACTCACTCTCACAATCAAGCATCACAAAGACGTGTTGGTCTCGATGGTTCAATTTACTTTGGCTATGCATTGGCGTGATGGATCCCTCATGTTAGTTTATACTTGGAGATTAAGTGTTGGCATATCTTCATGTGTTTTGGGGATTTATTTAATGATTTCAAGATGACAAATGAGGACGTTACTACATCAGTTTAATTTGTTTAAGGCCAGCTCCACGAGTAAATTTCCACTTCGCATTCAAATTCTAGTAATGAGTCAAAGGTCCTCAAGTTACGACAATGCACAAGTCTTTACAATTCAAGGCCCGTTATATTTTATTGCTACAATCCAAAACCCCTTTTGATCATAGAAGAAACCCAATTCAAAAGCATAAAGTTAGAAAGTGACAAGGATTCAAACTTCCATAAAATCTCATCCACAATTTAAGGTGCCAATAGGAATTAGTGTTAGAATAACAAGGTAAATTACAAAGCCCACATAGCCATCATGAGAAGTGACGGTACAAATCCCTTAAGCATCATTAGCAAAAAATAAGAAGAAGAGGTTGTTTATACCAAATGGAAGTCGTAACATAAGAGCCATGGAATTATGTCGTACATAATAATTACACCAGTTAGAACTACATAAACCAAGTTTGTATTAAGAAAAAGAAAAGCCTTCATTGCTAAAACCAGTACACCACTTTCACGACCCGTTAATACCTTTCCTGGGTAACCGGTGTACATCACAAACAAGACTTTTGAACCTTGTTGTGTGAATTGCTGTTGTGACTGTTTTGAAGAATTAATCACCCAGGTAACATAGTACATCATTCCAAGCTCAGAGAGAAATAAGCCATGTTTTGAAAGCATCTTGAACAAAGAAAAGTCTTAGAATCCTGCATCAACAATCGTATAAATCACAGTTTCAAGAGTTAATCATCATAAATGATATTCACCACACAAGATCAAGAAAGCTACAACTCGTAACGTGCCGCAATCAAGCAGCAAATGTGCTCCTAGAATGAATGCGGCAACGTAACGGTTACAAGTCGGCATTGAAGCAAAGCATCTTGTCCAATCACCAAAGGCACAAAAGGAAATCGATTGGCAGCCATAAGCCTTAAACCACCTGCAACAATGATGATTACTCAGGATGCATCAACAGTACTCAACAAATCAATATAATTTTAGAGGAAATTAAGAAAGTATATCTTGCGGGATGTCGGTAGTCGTCCCGAGAAGAAATCATTTTGATTACCCTCCAACGAAAGGCATAAAAGGGATTACATCGGTACTCACCTCGAAAAGAAGACACCTGATACAAGACCGCACCGAGTTCGACCTACCCATCAACCCTTCACTGCATCAATAAGAAGTTAAATTAATAAAACACCGGTTTTTCCGGCAAATACCAACAAGAGAAGTGGCAGTAAGTCTTAAACATAGGATTGCCGAAAATACCTTTCTCTTTGAACTCACCCATTTGAAGAAGCTGTAGTTTCCACTCTTCAGTTTGTTTCTCTAACTTTGTAGCTTTTGTTTCTTTTGTTCATCCAAAATGGCAAGAAGATTGAAGAAGCACTTAAAGAGGCTCAATGCTCCCAAGCATTGGATGCCTGAACAGCTGGGTGGTGCTTTTGCTCCTAAACCCTCATCAAAACCACAGAACAGAATTTCACGACAAAAAGAAGTTATGGTGGCATCAACATTTAAGAGACATGGCCCTTTCGAAAATGTTATCAATCAAATAAGCCATAACAAGGATTAACGCACCAAGATGAAGGCAACTTCAAGCCTTTGATCAGAGCCAAAAGCCATATATGCTAGCTGAACCAGAAGAAAAACTTGTAACTCAATCGACAGCGAGGTTAAATAAAGACCAAAAAACTGAAATGAATAAGGAAGAGCAGGGATACACATTGAAGCTTTCTCTTACCATCAGTAGTTACGTTGTGCCTCACTATGCGGATAACATGGAAACTCGGTTGAACTTGCAATTTCAAGAGACTTTGAGACGGAACCGCTCGTACCGATTCGGAATAGAATGGAGGACAGAAAGCAATAATTTTGAAGTTCTTGCAGCTGATCCCAACGAGTTAACGTGGAAAAGAATAAGTATAATGGACTCAAATATTAAACACACGAACATCCTGAAAAGGATAACCAAAGGTCATGAAACCCTTACCTAAAAACACGCACTCAACAACACGAGCCGACTCGGAAAACACTTTGCAGGCCGAGTTAAGAAGTTGGTTCTCACAAAAAACTCTTCCAATTCGCGATGTATCAGGCATGTGTGATCACTCCAAAGGCACTTGAATTATCGTTCACAGAAGGAGTGTTATGTTTGAAACGGAAGGAGGGTATCCTGCAAATCAGTATCAGCAGAATACCTTATTAGACAACAGCAGCATTAAACCAGGAATTCAAAGAATTAATCAAATGAGCGACATGTTTGAGCATGTTTTATCTGAAAAAGGAAACAAACTCATAACAAGAAATCACGATCATAAAGAGCCATTGAAAGTGAATAAACCGAAAACAGTAGACAGTAAATCAAAATCATAAGTTCCAGATCACCATCATCTACGGGAAAACAAATAAAGGATACTTCCAAATCAAAAATAGCAATTGGAATCAGGCATTAATCTGTCAAATTGAAAGCAGCGAGTTTTTTCCAATCATATCCATGACATATTTTCTTCCCAAATTCGGAGTAACCACATTCAATTTCGAAACCACACATTAACCTATATAAAGGACAAAACAACACATATCAAAGGGAGAGAACGAACTCACAAAAACCCCAATTCCAAACACACAGAAATTCACAAATATCAAATCCACAAACAGTTCAACACAGAAAAAATCCCAATTCGAAACATCAGAAATCCACAGAAAAAGAACCTAAATTGTAAAATTAAAGAAGGACTTATCTCTCCCTAGAAACTCTACCCTCAAAATATTTGTCGCCGGAAGTGTCCATCCCTTCAAAACCCATTCACATCAACACCAAAGCAAACCCTCACGCTTTCACCGCTGTGAACTCCAACCAGTATCCGCCGCGCCGAACCCTTGCCATTTCCGCAGACGCTATCGCCACTTCACCGAGAACGGAGCCATCATCGTCCTCGTAACCATTTTTTCTTCTTTACTTTTTTCTCTAACATTTGTTTTCGTGAGTTTTGTGGATTTTGTTTGTTTAGGTTAAAAGGCGATGAACGAAGAAGGAAGGAACGAGAAATCGAGAGAAAAGGGGATCGGAGATGACGAAGCGAGGAAGAAGACGGAGGGATTTGGGAAAATTGAGATTAGGGTCCTTTTGCTTTCCGTTTCAATTTTTTTTTACCGTGTAATCCTATGTATGCCCGCACACACTACTTACGATGCACCCACCATTCACAACACTCAGATCTCCAACGGATCTGATCTGTTGGTTCGCGTTGCACACCCATCGTATACCTTCATAACCCCACACGCACATAATCACGCGAAATTAACCTATTAACCGTTAATTAATCATTAAATCACCCCCTAATCATCACTTGGCCTTTAATTAACCACCAAACCTTAATTAATCTAATTAATTAAGATAGTCATTTTCATTTTTAACTGATAATCACCCCTTTAATCGTTTTTTTTAATCAATTTAGTTAATTAATTAGTAATTAGTTTCCTTAATAATCAGTTTTTTTTAATTAATCTAATAAACCTTTTAATTGACTCTTTCTCTCCAATTTCAATTAAACCATTAATCTACTTTATTTAACCTAATCTAATTATCACCTAAGTACTAATTTTAATCAATTAAGCTCTATCTATCAATTTATTTAATTTAATCTTTTAATTCAAAACTATTTTATTTAATCAAATAACTAATTAACCCTTTTGTAGCTAACTATATTCAAACCTTTTTACAATCTTTTATTCAATCTAATCTAAAACCAATTTATCTAATTAACTTTTATTAAATAATATATTTTGTTATTTTAATATAATTATTTCATTTAGTTGAGTTTTTATTTAATAAAGTTTATTTAATAAAAAATAATCTATAACAAAATACTTTTTATCTAAAATAAAATTTATCTAGTAACAATAGGAACTTTTTTAAAATCTTGTTAACCAAAGAACTCATTTTCATAATGATCTAGTAATTTGTTTTTATAATAATACCCTTTTGTTTAATTTAACTTTTATTTTAAATAACTAACTTATTTTAAAATTAATCAACTCATAATCTAAATTCATAATTAAGGATTAATATAGCATTTTCTTACAAACCAATTCAACTTGTCCTAAAATCTAATTCAACCTTTTCTTAAAAACAATCTCACCAAATAATAAAACTTTTAAAATCAATCTCCTCGCTAATAATCAAATCAACTTCGCCTAAAACCAATCCTACATCGTAAAACTTAATCCAATCGCACACATGTACGCTTCACATTATTCACAATTCACTCTCACACACTTCAGCGCTTTCATGCGTTTATGTATGTTTTAATTATTCACCCTTTATTTTACGCAATTTACATTACAACAATTTACTTTTCTCGCATCGCATTCCGTCCAAAGGAAAAACCTACACATGATTCAACAATTGTGTGTAGTGCACATCATTTGCATCAATCTCCCACATGATCCTTGATCCCATTCAAGTCGATCTCTAAGTTAGATCCTACCCCATAGGAAGGACCGTTATCTTTTACAACTTAGATACAAACAAATACAATTCAACTCAAACAATATTCAAACACAATAGAGAAATAGATGTTAATAATCTTAAGCGAGATAGAATCTCCATCCCACATCAATACAATCAATACTGTAGGAACTTTGCCTTAAGAGAGATAGAGGCGTACTCGTCGGTCAATATCTGAGTACTTGAGCCCTTCTATTAAGACGATGCAAAGACTATTTTCCTACAATTTGTGGCGGTTAAATCTCTCTTAAAATGACAACTCACCTTTTCTCCTAAAATCAATCAACCAACTACCCAAAACCCGTAGGAACTTTGACCACAGTCAAAGAAATCCTCAAACCCTTTAGGGGAACTACAGATACTCTGATTCCACTTCTGTAAGGTTATATAGGCATAAGATGCAATATCTTATCGAGTATACTTAGAAATAAACCCCTAGGTCTTTCATACCTTAAGCAGATAAACCTTAGCAATAAACAAACATAAAACAAGAGGTTCTTGTAGAGTACTACAAAAACTTAGGATGCTAGTACCTTCCCTACGTTTAACCGACCCCCGAACCTAAAACTCTCTAACTTGCATTTGCATTGCATTGTGGGAATTTCGATCTTTAGCCCTTCCTTTGGACAAAATCAAAGTTCGGTTGCAAATGAATAAGATTCAAACTAATCAATAGTTTGGTATCCAAATTTCACCGCGACAACCACATTATCCAGATTTTATTTTGTTTTGATTATTGGGATTGGGCCTTGGACACGTGCTTGATATCACCACCCCCACCCTGGGCCCAACTTCATTTGCACTTCAATTTGTTGTTGTTTGCACCTTCAGTTTTTCATCTTATTGTTAATTTCTTTTATTTTTCTGTTTTGTGCTGTTTCCAATTTAATTCAAATAAAATAGCTCCAATAGGTTAAAAATTCACCAAAATATTTTCTATGAATTTTAAGATGTCTAGTTTTTCTGGATATTTTTATTTTATTTTTTTGACTTTATTTTCAAGTAAAAAATGAATTAAATATTGGGGCTGTTTTATTTGAATTAAACTGTAGCATTACTTTCTCTTGATTTTATTTCTAGGTGTAAACTCCTCATTTTTGCATGAAAATTTTTGAGCATTGCATTAACATGTTGAATGATTTTTTCATATTTTTATTTATGTTTTTTTATCAATTTTTGCTTAGTGTTTTGGTTTGGTTTTGTGAACCCTTCCTTTTGCCCTAGTTTAGGGCATACCTTGTGTGTTTGCCTTCAGTTGAGGTAGCTGTGCTTGGAGTTTTGATCTCTAATTTGGACCCCTGGTTCCTAACACCTTGGGGGTACAATGAGATTTTATTTGGTATTTTTAGGGGCTGTTTTCTATTTTTCGTGCCATTTCCATTTCATGTCTACATTGTGTGTTTATCTTTTGCTTATGTGACTTAAGTGTTGACTTGCATACTTGCATTCTCTTGTGATGTGTTTGCTATTGCATTTGTGCATTCTCTCCTCATCCCCTATTCTGTCCTATGACTTTGGAATACTACTTAAGGTTGCTTGGTCCCTCCTTAGGAGGAACTTGAAGTTTACCTAAAGTAATGAATCCATGAGGACTTTTTCTCATTGTTTTTGTTACTTGTTTTTGATGCATTTTCTTCTCCTCTTATCTTGCATTTATTCATACTATGGCTTGAGGTTGAGATGAGCTTGTGGAGGCTCCAGCCCCACACATTATTTTCTCCCTCACTTGCATTGCATCCTTGTCTTCCTTGTTGCATTTGTGTTTGCATTCTTCATTTGCATTTGTTTCCTATTATTGTTTCTTCTTCTTTTTGTCTTCCTTCCCTTAGGATTTCTAACCTCTCTTGTTCAAGATATGTTATGATAGACATTAGGGTTCTAACCATTCATGATAACATTAGGTAGTTCCCTTTCAAACCCAACTTTAGGAGCATCTTGCATGACAACTTTTAGGGTTTGGACTAGTCCCCCTTAGTTTGTCCCCTTTCTCTTCTCATCTTCAAACAACTTCAATCCACTTAATAAAGGATGAAAATTGTTGCACGCTACGAGCCTTAAGCCAT